TTCAGCCGGGCCTCTGGGACAGTTAAAAGACCTCTGCCCGAGGATCTTAAAGAGCGTGGTGGAGAGTATGGAGCTAAAAGGTCAGAGACCGTTGAGTGCTTTAAAAGTAATTAATAAAAGCTTAAAATCAGTCCTAAAACGTACTGGCAGCCGATGTGAAAGAGCTAAAACAGGCGTGATGTGCTCATGTTTCCTCTTCCTGGTTAAGGATGGAGTTCTGCACCGTCTGTAGTCTGTCCAGGGATTTCTGATTAAGACAAAGGCTGTTGCAGTAATCCAGCTGTGAGGAAATAACAGCATGTAAAATCATCTCTGTATCTTTAAAAGCTAAATAAGTAAGAACGAGTTATCTCTATTTTTGTCATTTCTACTGAGTCAAATCCACTCAACTTCAGTTTGATTGGTATTATCTCAAACAAACAACAACAACAACAACAAAGTTTTCTGAAATTATCTGCTTTTGCAAATGAACTCTTCAAGTCTTTTGCTACTTACATGTTAAATATCTTTCCATAATCCTGCTGGTTCGGTGTAAACACAGCCTGCAGTTCAGCCTAGTTCAGTTGAAATTCTTGTCACATGACTGCTGGTCTCAGCTGAGTCACTATTGACCTCCCAGTTGTGCCCAGAAGCACCACGTTTTAGAATCTTATTACATTAAATGGTTTATTTTTGGTAGATTGTTAAGTGAGGCGTGAAGAATGTGATGAGTTTGATTAAATAACACCATTTAAGCATGTAACAGATGAGTAGTTCAGGGACTGTTAGAAAGCTGAAAATATGATGATTCTCTCCATTTCTACAGTTTGTGGCTTTGATAAACGGTGTTAGTTTTGGCGTGTTTATTTTAAAGACAACAAACCTGCCATTGTACAGTGTGCTTTGTGTAAACGCAGCCGGCAGTTCAGCCGAAACCTGTTTGAATCTTTGTCACGTGACTGTAGGACGCACCTGAATCACTGATGGTGTCACGGATAAGCCGACGAGCACAGAATTTTTACAGAATCTCATCAGTACAATTTATTTTTGGCATTTTTTTCAAATGATGCATGTCAGATGAAGTGATTTTATGAAATAACTTATGATATAAATTCAGATTTGTGTCACCTCCTATATCCTACATAGTGCACTATAAGGGTGTTCGCCATTTTGTAGCGCTGTCTGAATGTTCAGTTACAACTGTTACACCCTGTGTAGTGCGCTACTAAGTTTTACAGTTAACTTGTCGCTTATTTGTTCCATGCCAACACAGCCGGCAGTTCAGCCTAATTCAGCTGTAAAGTGCCTGGATTTTTGTGACTTGACTGCCGGTCACAGTTGAGTCACTCAGAGCTTCCGATCTGTACCAAGAAAAGCAGAATTAGGAATTTTCTAGTTCATTTTTTTTTTTAACAGAACCTGCCGAATGCAAATGGTTTATTTTTGGCGGATTTTTAAATAAGACATGTAGAGTAAATTCTGTTCAGTTCAATTCAATTTTATTTGCATAGCGCAGTTTACAACACACGTTATCACACAGCGTTAAAGTAAAGTATAGACCTTACAGATTTAACAGAGAACAATCCAAAGTAGTCTTTGGACTTCCTTTGAGCAAGCGGTTGGCAGCAGTGGGAAGGAACCAGAAACCCCCCAATGGGAGGGGAAAAACACCTCTGGCAGAACCAGGCTTAGGGAAGGAACCAAAAACCCCCCAGTGGGAGGGGAAAAACACCTCCGGCAGAACCAGGCTCAGGGAAGACGGCCATCTGCCTCGACCGGTTGGATGAGAGTGGGGATGAGGGGGTGGGGAAACATGATAGGAGATGGAGAGCAAGAAATAGAACAAAACAATAAATATGAAGTATTTTGGGGGTTGATGAGGCCAGCGGCTGCAGATCAGGGACACGAAGCTCCAGATCCAGAGACATCCGCAGAGAGAACGAGACTAAAGTGGTTTTGTTAATGAAATATCTCAATTGTAAGTCTAAATTTGGTTATTTTTCCCATGGAACTTCACATCATACATGGTTAGTCCACTGACTGTCGAAAATCTGAAAACTTTTTCTGTTCTTTTTCAGTTTCTGCTCCTAAAAAAATTGTGCAATTTTGTTGATTTTTTTTTTTTTATGGCCATATTGAGCGAAAATTCACACAGCCTGATTTGAACTTTCCTACTTTTGATTTGACGAAGTGATCACCTGTGGCAGACGAAGAAGAGAATCAACTGAATACCACAGAGTTGTATGAAGTCTCACCATCCACAGCAGCTGACACACACTGGGGGGTGTGAACATGTCTCGGCTGAACTTGAAGCAGCAGAGAGTTGTTCACTCAATGATTTTCACAACAAACAGTCCCGTCTGAGCCGCGTCTGAGCTCCCTGAAACATTCATTAACTGTTAGCTGAATTATTTACAGTTGCACTGACTGAGTTACACGGCAGCTTAATGAACGGAGTATCGTGTTTGTGTGTGCGTTGGGTTTGTGACAGGAAATGCGACTGCTTTTAAAGAAGAAGAGCGTTGTTCTGGCAGTGCTGCTCCTCGTCGGGGGATTGTATCTCATCAACCACTCGGACTTCCTCATGGCTGTGAGACCCAACACACACACACAGGTTCACTGTACAAGACGCAACACTGCATTTTGCCTGCTTACAGGAAACAAAGTCAACACCCAGTTCAAATACACGTGTGGGTGCGGCCTGCACAAAAAAGCACCAACTTAAAGGGTGCACTTTGTTGCTTCCTCTTCCTCTTGGTTTCATATTTATTACATATTTGTTATTTACTGTGTCGCACCACAATAAATCCCTGTTTTTCTTTTACAGGGCCTGTCAAGGTCGCCTGAAATACATCCAAGTGAGCTAACTTGGCAAGGACAGCTGCTGGTTAGTAAGGAGTCCTGGGTGGACCGGGGGCAGTACCTGCCGTTAAACGTGTCCTATCAGCTGCTAGCCGGAGCGCCGGCGACTGAACAGAGTGAGTCACACATTTTATTTAAAGAGATGAAATCACAAACTCATCTGAAGGAGCAATAACAGCATTTCAGAGTTTTTGGAGTTTTTTCAGGAAAATGTGGAGTAAAATTGTTCTGCACCGCTGTTCTCATTTGAATATTTGCATTTATTGTGCAGCTGAATGGTGTACACGGGCTTGATAATGGTTGCAATACATGTGTATCATTTTCTTTCTTGTTTTTTTTCTTCTTATTCTTATTTGGCATCTTGAACAATATTGAAACCCGGAACCCATCAGCAGGTTTTAAAGGCGTGCTTTCTGGTAAATTACCAATTGTAAGAGCCACTAACACAAAGAATCGTTCAACTTTCCAACAGTCCTTGAACAGCTTGTCTGTGATGTGACATTTTGTTGGGAAACTTAAACCAGTCTAAGCTTAAAATTACTTTATTTTACATTAAACATTTGCCAGAAACACACTCTTTGCCCTCTGACCCATAGATAATAGTGGCTATTGTTAGCTAAGTGTAGATACTAACATTTCTTGGTCAGTTTACTGGTGTTGTGTCCTGTTGTGCGACCACTACAAGCTACACTCTGAGCCTGTCACTAGGTGAACATTTCAGTGGTTTCATCACAAAGGTTAACCTTGAAAGGCTTGTTGTCTTTAAGAAATCTTAGCCTTTATTTATAAGGGGAAAAGCCCTGATGAGAGTAGATGCTCTCTTTTTCATGGGTGCCCTGTAAGTATGACAATAAGCAAAAAACACATTTTTCAGCTAAAATACAGAATAAATACAGACTAAAATACAAAGAACAGATATTTACACTCTCACATACAGAATAGACGCCACAGGCAATCAAAATAAAACGCTCTACACATACAGAATAAACAATCATAAATTAGAGAAAGTGTACAAGTTAAATTTAAAGACCACTCACACTGCTCCATGTTGGACACCAGAGCCTCAAACCTGTCCAACGGGATCAGACTATCTCATCTCAGCAGGTTTTGAGTTTTGTTCCAATTCTTGGGTGCATAATATTTAAAAGCTTCTCAGTTTTAATGAGTGTGTTTTCCAAGACTATAAAACCTTGGGTCCTAGTCTGATGAGAAATTGATCTATAATTAAAAAGACAAGTAAGATATTCAGGTAATTTTCCTAACAAACCTTTGTAGGTGATTAAAATGCAATGCAATCTACAACGTTACACAATTTAGTTTGAAAGTGGAAAAACTAAGAAACTCACTGGCTCTTGCATTTCATTTTCTGACAGCCCTAGAAAATTAACAAAGTCCAGATTCTGTAAAAAAAAAAAAAAAAAAAAGCTGTGAGCAACAGTCACATGACAAAAACTCATGTTGAACTGGACTGAACTGCAGGCAGTGTTTACTCAGAGCAGATGGATAGTGGACAAATGTGCAAGCAGATTCAAAATGTAAATGTCTACAGTATATAAAGTATCTTTTTAGTATTAATAACACCTGGTGGCACTTTGGAAAAATGTTGCACACTTGTGAATTCCAAATTTTATTGTTTTTTTTTTTTGATTTTTGTAAAATAAATCATCAAAGAAGTTCTGCTGGAGTTCTGTCTTCCTCTAGTCAGGGTTGTGATGTATCCAGCGAGCTGCAAGACCTCATACTGAAGTGAAAAATGTTGTCCCGTCACATTTTTAGTGAAACTGCCCAGATTTTGACAGACAATGTCTACAAACTATTTTTTGGGTTTTTTTTGTTGTTGTTGTTTTGCACTACTCTGCACATCAACTCTAAAAAGATATTTCACCATGCTAAATGTGTCTTTCAACAACTTGCTCTTTGTACCGTTTGCACTGTGCAAACACAGCCTGTAGTTCAGCTGAAGTCGGTTACAGTTGAATCACTAATGGCTTCTCTGTTGTACATACAAACACAGAATCCTGTTACTGCAAATAGTTTATATTTGGCAAATTTTCTCATGAAACATGTAAAATAAGATGGTTTTTTTTTGTTTTTTCTTCTATAAAACATCACAGATTTAAGCTGATTTTGAATTACCTTAATAAAAACCTGCATCTTTTCCATTTCTTTCTCAACACGTTTCAGGGTATTTATCTATTGGGATATCCTCAGTGAACAGGAAGAAGGGCAGCTATCTGATCTCCACCCTGCAGTCCATCTTCTCAATGTCATCTTCTGAAGAGCGCTCCTCCATGGTGGTGGTCGTGCTGCTAGCAGATTTTGACACCGGCTGGAGAATGGCTACCCTAAAGGACATCAAAACCACCTTTGCCTTGGAGCTGGAACAAGGCCAGCTCGTGGTCATCCATGTTCCTCTGGAGTTTTACCCTCCTATCACAGGTAAAGTGGATGTGTGATGCTCTGTGGTGTACAGTTTGTTCCATGAGCGTTTTGTTTGAGATCCTAATTCAAGTCTCTGGTTCTCCTGCAGGTCTGAAGAGGAATTACAACGATGCTCCTGAACGGGTAACTTTCCGCTCTAAGCAAAACCTGGATTACGCCTTCCTGATTCACTACTGCGCAGGTCTCGGGCAGTACTACCTACAGCTGGAGGATGACATCTCCTGTGCAAAAAACTTCCTTAGCAGCATTAGAAACCGTGTTGCGGAGCAGGAAAAGCAGAAGGTCACTTGGGCAACGTTGGAATTCTCGGTCCTTGGCTACATCGGGAAGCTCTACAAATCGGGCCACCTTCCTCTCCTGGCCCGCTTCCTCTTCCTCTTCTACCAGGAGATGCCCTGTGACTGGTTACTGACTCACTTCAAATTGGTGATGACTCAGAAAGCAACAATCCTCTTTAAACCGTCGCTGTTCCAACACATGGGGACTTTCTCCTCTTTCCAAGGGCGGCACAACAAGCTAAAGGACAAAGACTTTGATGACGGTTTCTACACCAACCCTGTAGCTGAAGTTTTCTCCAACATATCCACCTACCAGAAAAACTTCCCCAACCTGGCCTGGGATGCCGGGGAGGCGTTCTTCTGGGGACTCTCCCCAGTGAAAGGAAGTTACCTGACGGTGGTGTTCAAGGAGCCTGCAGTGGTGACGTGGATATTTGTAGAAACAGGGTCAGGGACGAAAGACTTGCTGCAGTCGGCTCAGGTGGAGCTCGGCCACGACGTGGTCACCACAGGGAAGGATAAGAGCTGTAAAGACTTCCAGTCAGTGGGGGCGATCGAGAACGGGAAGTTTGAGATGCAGGAGGTGGACAAAAAGTACAGCTCTGCCTCTAAATGTCTGAGAATACTAGTGACGGCTACGCAGAAGCACTGGGTGATCATTCGGAAAATCAGGGTCACAACGAAGCAGAGTGCTCCACGCCAAGAATAGGCCTTAATTTTTATTCCTTCCAGATTACTGATTAGGTACTGATCTGCTGGAACTTGTATGCAAACAGACAATGTGACTTTTGTGCCTTATAATATTACATATAACTATTTCTTTAGTGAAACCAGTGCTTGATGACATTGCGACGCTGCTGTGATGAAAATGTTTGACTAAACTCTGTGATAATGTGTTATCTGTTCAACCTAATGCAGAGATTTGCAATAAGTCATCCGTAACCCAAAACCTGTCAGTTTAACCCTTTGAACCCCAAAAACCCGCCGGCAGGTTTGAAAGGTATGCTGTCTTTTGAAACAACTGCCAAAATTACACCATTTATCAGAGACAGACACTGTAGAGCTATTTATCTGTGGCGTTCTGTTTGCTTGGGAACCAAATCTAAGCTTAAAATTGTAATCCATCCATCCAT